CTTCCCAAATTTGAAAAAAAAAACTTACAACGCGAACATACAGCAAGCGACAAACTTAACAAAAAAATAATATGCAAACATATCCCGAACTTTCAGCCAAGAAACGGCACAACTGACCTTCGTAAAAAGCCTCTACCAATGCCAGTTCCTTAGTTTCAACCAAATGAATTCAAATATTAAAACTTAATTTTGAAGAACCAAAAGAGCAAAAATTTGAACTAGAATTAAAGTTTGCTTGCTAACCTCACTGCTTCCTTTCCATCTATAAATCCTTCAGGAATTCCATTGGGAGTAAGAAGCTTATAAAGCTCATAACGGTGACGAAATTCTTGGAGTGGAACTCTGGTAGAAAATCCTTGACGACAAATTCTAATGCATTCCAATACCCCATTGCATTTCAACTGTTCTAGTACGAGCAATGACGCACTTTTTCCTACCTAAATTTGGTTTAAGTTACTTCTAGATACGGTAAAAAATTGCATTACCAGATACACTTAATTCCATATCAGCCTCCAATAAGAATTGAAAAAAAAGTAACGATCAAAGAAGCTCACTTTCTTTTCATGGTTTGGGATGATACATTTGACAAAGTAAGGATTGGTGTTCTTTAGTGTCATCATAAGCCGTGTTAATTGTTCTTTGTGCATCTGACTTACAGTGCAAAACATACCCTTCCTTGTCCGTACACCAAATGCTGTTTCATTTAGTTCCGATGCATATATGCCAGCAAATTCAGCTAAATATTGCAGTATAATAGTGGTATAATCCTCCTCTCAGCCATTTTCAGCGATTTAACTCCTCTTCTCCAAACCATCCAAACTGATGAACAAGCTCAGCTCTTTAAAAAGCTTCGTGGTAAAACAGAGCAGGTTTTCGTTTGACAGAAAATGAGACGTTGATACAAGACATCACAAATCAAAAGCCGGACCGACTTGATGGGGGCGGAGAAACTTCGCTTTTTTAGCTGAGTCAGGGCGGCATTTTCGGAGGTCCTCAGTATACGATGTTCAAATACCATAATTGGTCTAACACCCACAGCAAGATACAATATTTGGTCTATTGACCAACGACATATTTTAATGTTATAGGTACCAATATTTTTACTGGTAGCGACCTATTCTTTTTGCACCATCTGTTTGCTAGAGGCAATGTAATTTTTTTTGGAATTTATTAAAATTTATTGTATTGCCGTGTATTTTTGTCTTTTTTTTTCCTTTTGAGAATTTACAAACAGTTGCTTACTCGAATGTTTGTCAAAAAAGAAGAAAAAAGAAAGGCAGTCCAACTGTCTTTGACTGTCTTTGAATTGTCTCTTGTATTAACCTCTAATAAAGTTTTGTGTGGTTATATGTTTAATCTAAATGACCACCTTGAGCATTCAATAATCATGAGCTCCTGATCTACTACAATTGTGTGGGTAACTATCAGAATGCAACTGTTGGTCACTTTTGGGAAAAAATACTTCTGCAAAAATTAAAGGGTTTGAATGAAAAAGGAATTATTTTAAACCATTTCTTTTATCTGCTATTTAATATTTTTTTATTGCTCGCTTCTATTTTAAGTGATCTACGGTTATGATCTAGCAATTGTCAGTATTTCTTTCACTGATTACTTGCTTACAGCACTAATTTTTCACAGTTTGACATCGACTCTAAAGAACACTGCTTTTTACCCTCTTCTTGTTGGCTATTTTGTATAGATTATGTCGTAAGTGTTCTTTTTCTCTAGTGCACTAGCGCCTCTTTTTTTTTTTTTTTTTTGCAGTTCTTCACTGGTACTTAATATGTATTTTGGTCAACTCATGTTTTTCAGTAATGGAGGTTAAAGAAGAAATTAAAGATCAGCTTGGGTATTGTAAGTGGTTCAATGTTGTAAAAGGTTATGGCTTTATAACGCCGGATTCTGGCAAAGAGGACATCTTTGTGCATCAGGCTAGCTCTTCTTATAAGTTTTTGCTTACATTACAGTAGGCTTTTGAAAAATATAGTAACTCATTTTATGGTTTTTATGGCTGTACAGCAAGTTAGTTTTGGAAGAAACTTATTTATTAAAGGAAATAAATTAATGCTTTGGATCTGTTCCGACCTGATTCTAGTTTCTCCAAACAAGGGGCAAAATTTGAAGTGGTTGTAAACAACAAATTTTCAAGCAACGTCAAGAGGAAAGACGCTGAGAGAATGGGACGGTCAGGTTTTGAAACAGGTTCGAAGATTCGATGCTAGTGCTGCTGATGAGTTTATGCTTTGAAACAACTTTGTCGACGGACGTGAAAAGTAATGTGGAGAAACTAAAAGAATAATAACTATTCCCTTACAATTGTAGAGGAGATCGTCACAGACAGCGTCTTATAACTAGAACTGCTTAACATTTATTGATTTTTGAGCGTTATTATTATCAACTGTATTTGTCCTGTAACAGTTATCAAAATGTTGACAATTTAATGAGATTTGTGTGGACAATTAACTATCGGTAGCTAAACAGATCAGTGGCGAAATTTTAATAGACGGGATGCTGAGCATAACTGTAGAGATTTCAGTCGATGATTTGTATGGATGGATTCAGAAGTTTAGAGAATGGCGAAAGAGTGAAATTTGATATTAAAAAAAGAAATCATGGCTATGAGGCGATAAATGTTCGAAGCGAGGACGAAGAAGTACCGCTTAGAGGAAGTACGATACACCCACGTAGTAAAAATAAAACAAAAATGATTAGGTATTGATAGTTGCCTTTTTTTCAAATGGTTTTGCTCCTTTTAAGCTGTCTATTTTATTTTCGTAAAATCTTTTATCTTTATTATTATGTCGATTCTTTTATTTCAATATTTACATAAGCGAATCACGAAGAGAAACAAAAAAAGTTTTTTTGATGAGGGTTATAATTTGAGAAGTTGTTGTCAAATTTGGTGGTAAATCCAAAATTTTTTGAATAAACGTTCAAGTTTTTTTTCGAGTTTTTACAACAGCATAATTTTGTGAAATAGGAGACATGAAGTGAAATGAAATTATCCACTTTATGTTTTTTTGTCTTTTATAAGGTTTTGAAATAAAAACCAAAACAATTGGGGTAAATCACAGGCAGTCAAAAATTCGTGCTCTTTTTTTTTCGCCTTCAATTTTTTCATCTGTTGCTGGTTAAGTGCTTCAGTCGATATTTTAGAACAGTAAGCTCTTGATTACTTCTATTAGATATCATTTGATATCAGTACATATATAACTTTTACAATTAATTTGTTAAATAGATGCTTCAAATGTGGCCTATACGGAAGTCATGTCGCCGCCAATTGTAGGAATTTAGAAGGTAACTCTGAAATAAAGTTCTGCTACCGTTGTCATTTGGCAGGCCATTTGATGAATAACTGCCCACAGAAATCACAGCAATCCTGATTGATTAATGTTACTGAGTACAGAATTTCTGCATACCTTAATACACTAGTGATAATCCTAATGAGGCATTTGGTACTTGATTTGTGTGTACTGTAAGAATGACGTTAAATTACAGCTCTGGTTTGTTTCGATGTTCCTGAAAAAACTCAGCTAAAAGCTGGTATCAGTTTTATGGCATTGAGCTTTTGTTTTGGAAGAAAATCTATTAAAACGTTCAGTCTTTATTTTCCTATAAAATTACTTTACCGCTCTATTTGGTTCCTGTCTTGTTCTCATCTGTCCCAGTTTTAATTCTGCTATAACAGTGTCATGTGAACACCAAGTTTGTTGTTTCCTTCATAACGTCAAATAAACTTTTTGCATTCAATAACTGCAGCATTTTTGTAATTGAAATTACAACGTACATGAAAATGCAACAAAATTAGCAGGATTTTTCCGAGTATGGTTTTCATTTAAGATAACGGAAGAACTGCTCAAAAGATATTTCTTACGACTAGACAAGAATACGCTTAAAAATTAACCTCAACGGTCTTTTAAAACTTTTTGCTACTTCTGTCGAGGAGGACTAAAGCTAGAAATCAAGTAGAAGAATAAATAAGCTACTATTATGTTGTGTTTTGTGCTTCAGAAAGTTTTTTGAACGAGTGTTTCCAGTATTGCTGTTGTTTCTACAGATACAGGAGGGAGGATTCGGCTGTTGCTGAATGGGGAAAAAACTTGCTTCTCAGGTGATAAAATCGTTTACTCTTAACAGGTGGAAAACTGTTTTTTGAATGCTGTGGTTGGTAAACATTCAGAGTGTTAATTTAATACAATAACTTTGTAGAACACCTGCGGTAAACAAAATTGGTCGTTATTGCAAAGGTTAGCAGAAGCTAATATTTTATGAAGTAAAACGTGCATTTGAAGTATTACGCCTCAATTATGTTAGGTTTCATTTAAAAAGCGCGGTAATATAAGAAAGTATTTACTAAATGTACTATAAGGTTTTTAAAGACTCATCGTTTCTTTTTTTTTTGATTATTGTAGAGGTATTTGATTATTAGTTTAATCAGATCTTCAAAGCAGTTAGCTGACAATAAGAAACTTTCGCGAAAAGAAGACTTCACAAAAATGCCTCGCAGCAGTAAATTTGCTTGACGTTAAAGGTTTTCTTTTTAGCAATGAAATTCACAAGTTGCTTAAGCGATGGCAGGAATTGTGGAAAATAATTTTAATTGTGTTTGTTGATCGTCGACTGAAAGGGCTTGCTTAACGGAAAAATCGTTCTTGAAACGATTTAGCAAAGCTGGTAAAACCTTAAAACTTTTATAGATGTCGGAAATATCAAACAAAACACTTGGGGAATCAGCTGCCTGAAAGTAAGATTTCAGAAGGCTAATTAACTGTTACTGACCATCAACTTTTCAAAACAAACGCTGCAAAGAATTCAGTTTGCTATATAGTACATTAAATGTCATGCCGATATTATTTGAATGTTGCAGGACTTTTTCAGTTTTGATATTCAGAAGAATTAGCTGTTTTTGAGTATAAAGAGAGATATCTGTACAACAATCTTTATTTTCAGTGAGTGTTAGATGTTCTCCTATTTCTTTGAAGAGCCTCAGGTAGCTGTAACAAAGACACAATAAGAAGAGAAAGTCATTTTCTTACTTCATATTTGAATTGGAACTAAATTGTAAATTCTAAAGTTTACTATTTTAAGCTGGTTATAGACGCCATTTAAAACAGCTCAAAAATACGGTTATCGTGATATTTGATCAAGTGAACATTCGGTATATTTATTTTCTGTATACTTTCCTTCTAACTAAACTCTATCAACGTTCTCTATTCCATCCAAACTCCTCTTTTCCTTCTCCTCACTCGTGCCGCTTCTCCCACCCTCACTTCCACTCCTCAGATTTTCTCTGTTTATCTTTTCTTCTACTCCTCCGTAACCGCTCTTCACTTCTCTTTCTGCCGCGGAAAAATTACTTTTGTTCCATTTTGCCAAATTCAAATATAAGATTTTTTTTTTCCTTTTGTGTATTTTAAGCTTGATTTGGTGCTCTTTTGATCGTTTTTATACCTCTCTTCGAAAGAACTTTTCTTTTTCAAATCTGAGGTCTAAATTGTCTTTTCAGACGTTTTTTTTTAAAATTATTAGGGGAAAGAAGTGAAAGGAAGAGAAAAAGATGGAGAAAAAGGGTCATAAGAAAAAAAATCTGTATATTAGACTTTTGATAGCGGCAATGACTTAACATTGAAGACGTTTGTGTAAAAAAAAAAGCGAAAAAAGAACAAAACAGAACTGAAGAAGATCGGAAAGGTGAGCTGAACTTGTTTGAGTAAGAATGGAGTTGTTTATCATAAACCGGTTTATTTCAGGGTTTAATGCAAATTAATATCATTCCTATCTAACCAATTCAGTTTTTCTGCTAGAAATAAGTAACCGGCAAAGAAAAAAAAAAAAGAAAAAAAAGAACTTTTTGTAAATTTTTATTCTATTTTGGGCTTGTTTTATCAAAAATGATAAAACCAATCAAAAATTTGCTTTTTTTCTCATTGATCAGTTAAATGTTACTTGATTACTGCTATTCTGCATCGGTAGAGGTTTGTGAAAAAATGTTTGGTAATCTGTTTGTTGGTAGATTATACAGGAAAAAGGGGAAAGTGAGAACAGTTTAGAACAAACCTATATGTATCCACTAATCTTGATAAGCAAAGGCAGAAAAGTACAAATATTATTAAAAAACAATAAAAATCTACTTAATTGACTTGGCTTTTTTGTACTCTAAAATTGCTGTATTACGCTGCTGCTGTTGCTTCAAACCTTGCCGAGGTTTGTATTTTTTTTATTCCAGCCTGAATTCTTCCCGACTCTAAGTTAAGCAAAAGAAGGCCAAAGAATAGTTTGATGAGTAACGATTGTTAATAGACGAAAATTTCAAAAAATTAGGCCGATCTATTTAAAATACCGTTAAAGCAGCCTTTTTGTTCTCTTTACAAACAGTCATTACCTTAACAATTTTAATGGAAACGACACTGTGCAAACAACAATGACTTATCAAATACGAAAAGTGTAAAACATTTAGATGACTAAAAATTTTGGAATACAAAAGGTAAAGAAATGTTAAGTATTAAATATGCCGAAGAAATCCAAAATTTCATTCTTCTATTCAATCAGCTAATTAAAAGTTTATGACCGATTTTTCAAAAATAAAAACAGAAAGCAAGAAGAGACTATTTGGAGATTTTACTAAAAAAGTAGTAGATTCAAGACAAGTTACAGACTAAATTACTTCTTTCACTTTTTTTTTCCATTTATCTTTGCAGTATTTTCCTGTTTCCTAATTGATCAGTGCGATAGCAAGGATTGTCATAATGCAGCCGAAGCCGATGAAGCAGAAATCCGGCAGATCTTCACGTTTGATCGTCTCTCTGCTCAACTTCTTCCCCTCCCCCCCCCCTTCCCCCAAATCATAAAAAAAAAAGGCCTT